ACAATTGGTTCCCAAGTGGTTTTGAGAGGCTGGGAGGAGAGGCAGCACAAATGTAAGCCTTATCTCATTAAAATCTAGACTAAAAAACCATACCCCATGCTACAAAAAAAATTACCTAGTTAGGATGAGACGCTGAAGTTTGCGTGGTTTTATACTTTTTAGATAAAAAAAATACACCAACTGTTTTTTGGAGAGGAAAGTTTAAATCATCTCATTGGTCACTTTTCTGCTGTGATCTTTAGCTCCCTGTCCAACTTCAGGTTTCTTTTTCAGAGCTTAATTTAGATATTGTGCATGCAGTGCTGTTCTGTTTGAGTAACTTCTGCTCTCAGTACAAATTGTAATTTGATCGAAAAGCTTTTGTGTCCTAAGTAATAACCAAATTAGATGGTGTCTTCTGTTATTCTCTCCTCTGATAGTGTAACAAAAACATTTATTTCAAATACCTTCTTGACCTTTTTGAATTTTAAAACTTCAGCAAAAGCTTATTTGCTTTGTATTGTCAATACATTGCAACTGTCTTCACACAGAGCTTGCTAGGTGCCAAATCCCGTGGTCCTTTTTGCAATCAATTTTGGGGGGTATTTTAGATTATGTAAGAGATACGAAATAAATTTTCATCTAAAAAAAAAAACCAAGGAAAAAGAATTGTATTTTTATTGAAGGTCTGTTGTATTTCTATGTTGCAAATTGGTTTTATTCTCAAAGAGCAAATAAAAAAATCTATGTGGTATAATACAGAACACTAATGCAGATTTCTAGGATGTTTACCCTCTTTGCAGTGAGAACAGCATCCTTGCTTAAACAAGGAAAGAGCAAAATACTTTTTGTTTGGGAACTCCCATGCTTTCTAATTCTTGGAACGTCTTTGTCGGTAAATACACTTTTGCTTCCAGTTTCTAACCCGCTGTACTAATGTTAGTATAAGTTAAGTAACAACAAATTCTCACCTTTATTACAGTGTATACAGCCTTGAAATATTAACTGTGTCCAGCCTCAGGTACTTAGTACCACTTGGGTTGAGCAAGAGTAGTGACAAAAATGGAGCTCAGTGAGACGTGACAGACTGGAGCAAGCAGTGTCACCCATCTGATGGCCAGAACAATCTCTGCTTCTGCTTTTCTGCAGAAGTGTATGCTGGCTGCAGGAGGGGTGGCTGAAAGAATGTAATCAATAGTGGATGGAACCAGCCTTGGTGTTTATCTGTCCTGAAAGGTGATCGTCCAAGATTTAACAGTCTTAAAAGACATTTAAAAGTCATACTCTTTTATTGTGATGATTTTTCCCAGAGATAAGTAACTTGAACTTAAGAAATAGCTAGTGGTGAATTAGGAGTTAAGATTTAGCTTGCTGAACAAGAACCAGTCTTTGACTTGATGGCAGCTTGCCATGCCTTTAGGAATTGAGGGCCCCACCAGAACTGGCCTATCTTGAAAGTTGTGCTTTCTGGAAGTGTGTTATGTTCACTGCTGTAAGTGCATAGTGTCTTACTGGGGTGTGACTTCAAAATTACTTCTTGTTGGCAGTTTGAAACATGATTATGGGGATATAATCTGAGTCCTGCTGTTAAAGGTTCCTGAAAAGGAAAAGAAGACATTGCAGATGTCACCCAGTAGCAGTATGTAAACCGTAATAGAAAGCTGTTTGCAAAAGGGTGGCAGCTGAGATGTTTGTATTATCTGCACTTGTATTCACCGCTGATCCCATGTACAGGTGTAAGAGCATGTTAACGCATATGTGTGAGGACATAGCTCTCTGCACACAGATTTCTCTCTGCAGTTTGATAGACATTGCATCTCCCCACCCCCTCGTGAAATGCAGCTCTTCTTGTAATAAGGAGGTTTTGCTATTCTTTTAAGCTCAGTTCTGTATTGTATTTTATTGTGGTGCTTTGTGAATGGCTTCCTAGTTTTACTGCATAAGAAAATGCTGGCAGTTAAGAGTATTGTGGACGAGAATTCCTCACCAAGCTTACTCTGGTGCCGTGCTTGTTTAGCTTTGCTGGTCTGACATGCTTCTTCGTAAAATCTGGGGCACACAAAGCTGACTGTTAGGCATATTGCTTAGTAAATTTTATTTATCAGTGTGCTTTCTGGTTGTTTTCTGTGACAAGCTATCCAATATGTCAATTCCAAAAGTGGAGTCCTATGGAGCCCTGTGCAGTTTATTTTGGTATGAAATCTCTCTTGACAGCTGACAGTCCAGCCCCTGAGCAGTTTCATATCTCTATGAAACTCTCACCTGCTGCTCATTTGGCATTCAGTACTCTTTCTCAATTAAATCTTGAATATTATCCTCCTCACCCCTGCCTGCCTCTTTGTGACTAATTATTTGGTTTCCATGAAGAAATCATGCTGTTGGAAGACTTTGCATCTCTAATCATCTTTCACTTCTTTTTGTTTGGAAGGAACCTAATGGGGAAACAGACATTCGGTAGTTATGTTGACTTAGTTCAGGAACTTTGTGCACCCTTGACTTGCTAATTCTTCTGTCAGCGTCTCTTCTAGTGCCTCTTTTTCTGAATTTCTTCTGTGGGTCAGAATCAGGTCATGCTTTGTTTTATTCTGGCATTTTGAGGACGTTCCCTGTGTTGTTCTTACCAGTCAACATGCTTAAAGTTGGCTTTTGACTTCAAGAGTTGACAGAATGGTAGAGGTCTTGAATATAATTAAAAAAAAATGCAGTTGCAGAGGGAAAAGAGGCATTAGTATCGGTCTACAAATTATACATCAGAGAACTGAAAAACTTTACAGATTCCTAAACAGCAAGCTCCAAATCAAGCTTTTCCACGGTTGCATGCAAGAAGCAAATCTATAGGTAGCTAAGTTTCAGCAGTCCTGATGCTTATGGAGTTGCGCTTTTTTTTTTCCCCTCTCTTGCTAATCTCCTGTTCTCTTACAACTGTAACGAAGTGCCAGGTCCGAAGCTTGTGCCTGGATTCCCCCCCATCTAGCTCCAGATGTTCAGCAATGGCAGTCATGCCATTGGGCTTGGGCGATCTCTAAAGCTAGACTACTTTCATCAGCTGCTTTCCTTTCTCACTCATGGCATTTCTCTTAACCTCCTTGTCTCTCAGAGTGTTGTTCTTGGCATCACATCTCATTTCTTGTGCTGGTTACAGTCTCTTGAATTGTCTCTTCAGTGTCATCATTATCTGGTTGACTTATGCTTGCTGCTGAAAGTCTAGTTCAGGCTTTGCTTACTTCCCTGGTCTGAAATAATCTGAATTTCCTCATTAATGGGAAGTACAAGTTACTTTCAGTTCAGCGCTGATTTTCTATTTTTTCAGATACTATTCTGCCAAGGCATTAGACTCTGCAGTCTTTGAAGAGTAGGCAAGGAATGGCCAGACATTATTCAAATTATGGTCCAGAATTTATATTTCCCTTTCAGTTACTGTGAAAACTGTTTTGTTGGTCATTGTTTGGGGGGCATGGGGCTGCTTGGTTTTTTTGTTTTGGGTTTTTTGGTATGGGGAGGTTTTTTTGGTTTTGAAGAAGATCCAATCATCGGATCTATGTACGAAGTTATGAGGGTAGTTTCCTTGGGCTGTCTCTGTGTTTGACGGAGATACAGAGAGGCTTTCCCCTGGGGCAAGGGGGCAGTGGAGTGGGGATTCTTCAATGAACACCTCTACCTTTGCTCAGCTGGTGTTGGTAAAGACATGAAATGGTATCAGTGATGAGTTGCAGTGAGTTTGTCTTTTGTTTCTAGAAATAACAGTTGATATCAGAAATGAAAGAAATTTCCTTGTCTGTTTAGTCTCCATGGAGAATTCTATACCAAAAAGCGTAGATGCAGAAATTATCTACAAGAAAATATGTTTAATTACAAGTACTTGTTTTGGGCTTAGCGAGGGAAGAGAAGAGATCACAAAAACCATGTAGAAGAAGGTTCGTGTATTGGGGATGTGAGGCATTTGACTCCCTTTGTGGTATCGGTGCACATACTTCCGTAATTGAGAAGTGAACCGGGCCTCATTTCTTCATTCTGCTTCTTAAAGTTGAATTATAACTGTAGCAGTTGAGGCAACTGTAGAGTGGTGGAATAGGTTTATATTTCAAGTATTGGTTAACGTGGAGGGAGAGTTGAAGTATGCCTCTCTTGTAAATAGCCAGGCATTTCCCATATGTAAATGGGTGTTGTATCCTCCAACTATGCTTTCTCTTTCATGTCCTGAGGTTTTTTAAGACCACTTACGCTTGCTTGACTACAAGATAAGCAAGGAAATTATTGAAACCAGTTTTAAAATTTAACCTGGGGTATTCTTCCTCTGTTGCTCTGCTAATGCTTTGCATGCTGACCTAGAAGAATCACAGTCCAAGATCGTAGGTACTGTAATGCAGTCTTCAACTGCATGAATTATTTTCTCAGCTGCCTGCCAGTTGTGCTTAGTCCTGGTGCATTAATGAAGTCCTGTTATGTTGTTCTAAACCAGACTTAAAACAGCATGTCTTAGCCTTTGCCACTGCATGGAATAGACAGGAAAAGCTGGCAGTGGAGCTGTGTAGACTCCAGATACCCTGTATAGGACACTGGTGGTTGTGTGCTATTTACAGTAGCATCTGAGTAGTATCGCACGTGGTACTGTACCTGTGCACCTTCTCCACCACACCCCTTGCTGCTTCCTCTAATGATACAACTTCAGTATTAGGGACACTTTCCAGAGAGAGAAATGCAAGAAGCATGGAAGAATGCAAGTTCTGTTCTTACTAGTTCCTAGAATAATGCCCATAATTAATTAACGCTTTGCATTCAGGAACAGGTTTTAATTCTTGACCTTCTAGAGCCTTTGAAAAGTGTAGAATATTTTACAGATTTGCTATGTTTAATATACTTGGGCAGTTACATACGTATTATGTTCACATGATGCATGGACATGCATCTGTTCTTAGTGCTTTCTGGTTTTATGTGGTCTCGCAGAGACACTGTATTTGTTTTATTTAAATGGGAAAAAGAGGTCTCCATTTCTCAGAAGTTTTCTCATTTTTGCTTCACAGAAACTATCTTAGAGCATGGACACCAGTAAGAAGACAGAACCCCCTTTATCTGTAGAAATGGTACAACAAAGGGCCAATCCTGATCGCAGTCCTTCAGCATCGATTTATGTTCCAGAGCAAGGTGGCTACAAAGAGAAATTTGTAAATGCCGTGGAAGATAAGTATAAATGTGAAAAATGTCACCTCATCTTATGCAATCCTAAACAGACTGAATGTGGACACAGATTCTGTGAGACCTGCATGAATGCCTTGCTAAGGTATGGTTGTTGTGATGGAATGTGTTGATATCTTTAAAACTTGTGAACTGCTGAAAATAATGTGAACACCATTGTAGTTATAGGAATATATTAAGCTAATGCCCTGGCTCAAAGCAACCTTCTGCCTTGTTGCTTGCTTGATTACTTGTTATCCCTGTGCTGAGCAAACATTTGTGTTCTACTCCAGGTCAGGATGAGACAACTGAGCTTTCTATCAATATTTTTGAATCAGTTGTTAAAGTGGCAGTATGATATGTAATGATGTGTTAGGTAAGAATTTCATTGCCTGTGGAGCCTAGACTGAGTAGCTATTTCATGTGACTGCTAATACGGCTAGTTTGGTGTAGGATGTGCTTACTAAATTGTGGCTGTGTGAGGAAGTGAGCCTGCAGAGGCTCCTCAGAGTGATGGTACCTAGTCTAGCTGCGGACCCAACCTTACAGTTGAGTGGTGGGACCCTTGGATAATGTAACTGCTTGTGGAGCTGCTTCTCCCTGTAGCCTTTCTAGCTGTATGTCCTGGAGCGTGTATGTTTTGTGGATTCCAGGAGGGTCAGGAAGGCTGGCTTCTCTATTACTGGGATGTTTGGGCCAGAGTGCAAAGTGGGTGAGTGAATGTTACAGACATAAAATGAATGCTGAGAGATGCAATCTTTCCCAGTCTAGGTAAGAATAAGAGTGCAATCATTCAAAGAGTATCTAGCTTTTAAGAAGTATCTGTGCATCAGTGGAAGTATGTTTCTCTGCCTCTCAACTTTGATGCGTTGCTATTGGTTGTGTTCAGCAGTGTGATTTCAAAACTTGGTTTAATGTTTGGAGACCATTCTGCAAGCTTTAATCTCCTGGGGTAAATAAGCAGTCAATACTTCTATTTACTACTGGGAAAGCAGAGGTGTAGAAGAGATTGAGCTCACTGGTTGTATTGCTTACTAGACTACTAACAGAGAGAGGATTTGACTTTGGAAGGTCTTGGTGATCTCCTGTTTACTTTTTGTGACCATCTTCACTCTAGGTATTAGTTTATATTTCACTTGCAAATACTGTAATCTCTGGTAGATAAAAATCAGAACTACATGCAGCATGGCAAAAGAAATTGCAGGATATTACATTACTCTGTCTCATAATAAAGAGTAACCTCTGTACAAGGGTCTGTAGCTCACTAAGCCACTCCTGTAGGTTTTGTGCTACAGCATGTCAAATTTAAAACAACGAAAGTCCACCAACTTTTCTTTCAGTACACATTTTCAGGTGAGGCGTAGTTTGTATTTAAGAAATGCAGTTATTTCTTTCTGAATGTATGTGTTTGGAAGACTCTTACATGGTTAATAACAGTGACTGCAGAAAAGGAAACACTTGCCATGCTTGGATGTGTGCAGATGGACAGAGCAGATCCTTAACAATCTAAGCAGTAACAATTCTGGCATTGCTGGAATCCAGGCAATTTTCCTTCCCTGCTGTGAGACATGCACATGTGCTTATTACAGTGCTGCTAGAATATGTGTAATTTTACCTTCCTGACTTTCCAACCAGTCCGTTATTGAAAAGGACACATGGGTAAGGCCATCCACCACACTGCTCTTTCATTCGAGTTATTTCACTATATTTAAGTGCTTGTTGCAAACAAATCCTTTCTAAAATTAAATTTAGAGCTTTTTTTTTTTTTGAGATATAGTGTGCCATAAAACTTGGAAGCAAAATAAGTTTACATTGTTGCTGTATTTGGCACAAAAATTTTTCATTCAGTGTTGATACGCTGCTGCACACACACACACTGATTATATGCTAGCAGCTTCTGTTCCAGGGTTATATGAGGACAAAGAATTGGGAGTCAGTGTAGATAATGCAGTAAAGATGTCTGCTCAGTATGCAGCAGTAGTTTAAAAGAGCATGTGGAATGCTTGAGTGAATTCAGTAAGAGCAAGGAAAGCATGACATTGTATTAAACACTGTATGCCCTCAAGTAGATTAGTTTGTTTCCCTTATTTTTTTTTTTTTAACTTAAGAAAAATATTACAGATATTGAAGCTGCAAGGTAGTTAAGATGCTCAGAAGTACAATGAAACACAGAATGGTCAACTCAAGGAGCAGAAGCCAGTGAGATGATTTTAAATAACCCCACTGATTATATAAAGTAATCAAACTTACTCAGCCTTTTACACTGATTTCCACTGCTGCTAGCAGCTGCAACTTAACGCATCCTGTCAATGAGTTGCTTTACCAAAGAATTCACCTGGCTTTTGCCTAGTACTTTTCATCCGTAGATCTCTGTGCTTTATGAGGGAGATCAGTATGACTATCCCCGTTTTACATGGGGAAAAGAAGCTAAAAAGGAATGAATGGATTTACATTACAACACCTAGCAGATCAGAGCCCGAAACAGCTGTAGGAATCCAGGTTTCTTATACTCCAGTTCAGTTCATAGGTTGCTTTGCTCCTCAACCTACCTGTTGTCTGAGAGATCAGAATTTTGGTAAATAGATTACCAAACCAGCTACAGGGCAATAGTTCAGATAAAGGAGGGGGCAAGCATCTGTAACAGTTGCTAAAACCAGAACAGACTTGAAGGAAATGGACATAAATACTTTTTTTTACCCTAAAAGGATGTGTAATTGACTGTTAGAGAAAGTAAAGTTTGATTAGGTGTTGTTTGGAAAAAGACTGGATGATTGAAGAGACAATATTTTGCCTATTTGCGCAGATGGATTGAGAAGTGATGAAAATTGTGGATCAGGCACAGACTGTAAAATAGGGAATGAATTCTGCCGCCTTGAAGAAAACCACTGCGCAGTTGGCTGGAGGCGTGGTGGTCTTATTTCCTCGGGAATGCCAGATATTGTCCACTGAAAACTCAGTGTTCAGATTTTTTGAAATAACATTGTGTTATCTCATTATAATGAACTATATCCACTTTTAATGATTTTTAAAATAAATCGAATAATCATAACTAAATGCCTCATAAACAAAAATTTTTGTACTACAAAAAAATCAGATGAGTTAAAATAGTTTTTCTCTTTTCTTTTCTCTCCAGTTCTTCTAGTCCAAAATGTACAGCGTGTCAAGAAAGCATAGTAAAAGATAAGGTATTGTTAAAATGGTTTCTTATTCAATAGTATTGAATTGTGTGGCATACATAAGATGTGTTAACTGCTTTGTGGTAGTTATTTCATAAGTCTAATAATCTACCTCAGGAAAACAGTTTTGTTATAAAACCTAAACCATGTATTTTATACAGGAAGACAGCTCATTTTTCCCCACGGTAGAAAACAACGTTAGCTTTGTCCCTAATGTCCAGCCAGGTGTCACATCTTGCCACATTGCAGTTGCCCTCCCATCAGCCGGGAGGATGACGAGAAATACTGCGTCCCCTGTAGATGCAGAGATGGGGCAGATCTAGAGAAACCTTACTCCTGATTTGGCTCCAGACCGGTGTCTACTGTTTCAATAATCTCTTTTTACAGTGTGTTGTTCTGTGAACTGCACTGGAACCAGAACAGTGTGGAGTTACTGTAACTCTGGTAGAATGAGATCCTTTTTATATGGGTATTTCACTGATACCCTCCTCACTGTTTTTCACAGCAAAACTTTGTGTTGCCTTTGAAAGGTTGAGGGTAGACAAATTTCTTTTTGACTTAATACATGGTTTATGCAGTTTTTACATTAGATTTTTCTAAAGTATTTAGTAAATTCTTTGTGTTAGTAGTCTTCCCTGCTTAAGTGAGTACTTGTAACCATTTTCAAGAAAAGGTTAGCGGGTACATTAATCTCTCCTTGTCTGAACTCAAAATAGTTCTCTGAACAGTGCTCGGCATAATCCAGTTTTGACATGGATGGGCTCTCCAGGAGCTCAGACCAATAATCATGACGCCTACTTTATTTGTAGTTTTAACTCTGACTTTCTAGCTCCCAATATGCATAAATATGTACATTCGTTATGAAACTTCAAATATCTCTAAACCCAGGAGGGGGACAAGAAGGGCAGTGTATATTAAATACATGTTAGACTAACTGTGCAAGACAGTGATTTTCATGAAACTGGAAACCTCTCTCTTCCCATGGAGTGCTGATGTCCAAAATCACTGAAGAGCTTTTAGATGGTCTTGGGAAAAATGCTTAAAAATTATCTTCTTACCTTGACTTCAGTCAGCAAAACTGTACTGGCAAACTGATTATTCAAATGAGATTTGTTGATTCATTAAACTTCACATGTGCATTTGAAAAGTAAACAGAAATCAGTGACCTAAGTTAGATGAGATCAGATGAGAGCTGCTGCAGCGTTTCCTTCTTCACTGATAGATTCATAGTCACTGTGGACAGATCTGATCTTAATTCTTTGTTGTTGTTAAATATTAGTATGCAGAACTGTTCTGTAATTATGGTATCCCTGCAGTGTACACAGTATCACAGAACTTTGTCAGAGAAGTAGTCATAGGTTGGGTTTCGTTCTTTGGTATTTCTGAACAGTCACGAAAGCAATTGCAAAATAACTGGAAGATTTTATTGCTTTGGTTTGGACTTCAAAGTAGTAATAATGGTCTTCAGTCCTCATTCCCAGTTCCTGCTCTTCGCAAGGGACTTCTTAAGAGTGCAGTTATGTTGTCTCTTCATCTTGTACAGGGTATCACCCAAAAAAGATGAAAAAACCAAACCCCAAGCTCTATTTCTAACTTCTTGCAGTTGCGTTCTAGACAAAAATGCTGGAAAGGCTTATAAAAGTTTAAATGGAGAGATGGTTAAAGCCTGCTTATCTGTGAAATAATAAACCTCCTCCAGTCTAAGACCTTAGAAAATATCTTTAATTATATGTTACCACTGAAGTGCAAGTAGGTGTTCCAGCTAACCACTGTGGGACTGCCTGCCTGG